TACGGTATTTGTTGTGAGGACCTATTCTTGTCCATCCCTTCTTTTCCATCACCAAAATCCCATCAACATTAATTCTAAATGTTATTATATCAGACAAAAAAATCTCCATCAGGTTTGGTCATCTACTTCAGTGAAAGTCCAGCCAATCAGCCCAATGTAAGACTAGCATGCAGGCTGTTAGTGCATGGATTCTAAGACATACTGTACAGTAGGAACCTAACAAATATAGCACCCAGAGATGCAAAACCATCACACTAACACTCCAATAAGAAATAAAATGGCTAGACAATATACTATGGCTTCTTTAAAATAGACAAGGATAATTTAAGAGAGCTGTTGAAAGGATTTTTAAATATGGTTTGGAGGATGGGGGAGCGATTGAGTGGCAGCTTAGTCCTAAGTCACTGAGAGAGAAAGCATTTGTGTATTCCTCTCAATAAACTTAAACATTTTAATGGTAAAATTACAATGTTTAATGCATTATCAACATTACAGTAGATTATGCATGCCCCAATCAGTCATTACATTAAAACATTGATAGGGACAGCACTGAAGCTGCAACGGTGATTTGAATAAAGCTTCTGTGGCATGAAAAAAGTATTCTTTTTGGACTGAAAAAATATTCATAAGACAATTAGTCAGCCAGTGAAGTGATCCAAAGTCATTTGTGACATTTACGGCTATTTAACAGGGTTTCCGATGAAGAATCAACACAAAACAAGGTAAAATTTATCAGCTTTTCTGCATAATTCAGTGCACCTTAGATACTCTGTCCATGTCCCAACAGCGATATTAGGATGCCCTTGAAAGAAATAAATGAACAGTAACTTTCCCACAAACAAATAATTTAAACATATATTTGCGCAAGGGTATATGTAGATAAACCTATTGCACAAAAATTCAAAGCTCAATGTAAAAAAATCCTGAACCACATGGTAAAACACAACTCTATGCAAAAAGACAGTGAAGTACTACCATTAGTCTTTTGTTTTAGTGTTGGAAATAATTAAATATGCACCTATTAAAAGAATATAAGTACTTTCTTGAACTAGGTATGCTTTCTACTCATGCATCTACTCCAATTCCCTTAAAATTGAATACAATAAACTATGAAAGTCAATGACCTCCGTCCTGCTGAGAAAGTTATTTCATTATTTCTATGATTTCAAAACCAGGACACCAAACCTGCCAAAGTCTATCCTGGTGATAAAATAATCAAGACCAAGGCAGGTTAGTCATAAAGCACTGCCTCTAACTTCTTGGATCTGATGTAGTTTCTCACGTCATGTCTCATATCCAGAAGGTAGGGGTGGGGGGCGGGGTGCATATTGGAAAAGAACGGGAAGTGATCTGTTGTTAGTTCTTCCAATGGCGAGGCATTTATGAGTTCTGTGACCACGGCCAATGTACGGAAACTTAAACACTTTTCTGGCAGATGCCTTGGACACACCCTTCCAAATTGGCACTGTTACAAAAGAAATTCTTTTGTTCTTGCAGGGCTAATAATAGTGGGGGGCTGTGCTTGAAAGGGGGGAAGTGTGCATATGAATGTGCATGTGTAGTAGTTGAAACTGTATTTATAACTTCCTACGGTGAAAAAACCATTCTTGTAACAAACTTTAATTCCCACTTTGCTTCCTCTCGTTCTGTCTTTCTTGACGGTTTGAACTTACATAAATTGGCCAAACATCATTAGCAGAAAGATTCTATGTTCATCTGGATTCTTTAAACTAAGCTCTATTAGTTGAATTCATATTTATTCACAGTTATGATATAGGTGAATTGTGGATAATTAAATATTCACTATTTATTTACGTATTAACACTACAGTGCATTACAGAAGTATTCACACCCCTCATACTTTTCACACTATGTCACGGTCAAACCATAGACATTTTTTTTAGGGACTGTATGTTATGCTGAAGTATAGAAATGGAAGAAAGGCTATGCTTTGTTTTGCAAACAATACAAAAAATCATTACTTGAAATTGCATCAAGTGACTTTGCAGTGATTTAAAAAAAAATAAAGTTGAGTACAACCAAACTCTCCCGGTCTTTTTGCTTCCTAATCTCAGAAAGCTTGAGAGGGGTGTTAGCAAATAATACTAAACAGCATGACAAAGGATGAAGGATCATTACAAATGAAGGGATACAGTTTAAGAGAGGTTTAAATCAGAGTTAGATTAAAAAACATATAAACAGTTCTCTATATCCCAATATCTAAATATTTAAGGTCTTGGTACAAAGAGCAGTGTCCATTCCATTGTTTAAGGGAACGTATGAGCAACTGTAATCCTAACAACAGACGACATTCCAGCTAAACTGCTAAAATCAAGATTAATCAAAGAATAGTCAAGCAGCCTATGTAATTCTAAAGAAACTGCAAAAATCCATATCTCAAAAACTTTCCCCTGGTCCATAACATAAATTCCTCATAAAACCTAATGAATTTTGTAAACTTAATAAGTGTAAAAGTTCAAGGAATATTTGAATATTTTTACAAAGATTACTTAAATGTAATAAAACACAGAGCAGATAAGTTACAACAGAGAACACAGAATATTTCAAAATTGTCCTTTTTAAAAAAAAAAAAAAAAAAAGGGGGTATTTTTCTCACAGAACCTGAATTCAGATTATTAGAGGGGTCGGAGCATGTTGGATAAACTATCAAAGCCATAGCTAGCACGTTATTTATCAAAACCACTTGTGCTTTGAAGAGTCCTTTAAAAACAGAGGTGGCAACATAGTTGAGAAAGTTGTATTATCTACCTTACTTGAGTGAGATGCATTTTCCCCCATTTTCTCAGAAAGCAATGGCTCCTGTGTAACAGTGGGAAGGGCTTTCTCCTGCATTGAGCTGGGATCATTTTGTACCTTTGTAACAAGCACTCACCAATTACTGTTAAGATAGAGTAATATGGGTAGTCATTAGGCAAACATAATGACAGCTCATTCACGGCAATCCGGGGGAGCGACAAACACTAGTGGCTGAGATAATTGAATTAGGAGGAGGGTGTGAGAAATAGAGTCGTTTCACAATGGAGCAGAATTGATCATTCAAAGTTAATAAGCAAACCACACACAATTATTAGATGTAGCCACACCCTTCAGTAAGACCTTTTGTGTGTGTGTTTGAGTCTCTCTATATTGAACATCTATGGGAAATGCAAATAAATATCTCAAAAAGGTCAAGAGCGAGGGACACAGTGTGTGCTAAATGTCGACATGTGTTATTCAAGGACTCTTGTCTTTTTAATAATTGGCATATTTTTTTAAATAAAACATTTTTTTTTATTATTTTCCCTTTTGAAACAAAATTGCACAAAATATTTAAAGGGGAACTGGCAACAGGCCCATTAATATGCAGCTGAAATTGTGGCGCTGCATTGTAAAATATAAAAAAGAAGCAAGCGAGGGGGAGAAAACCAGGTGAGTGTGTGCAAACCGACAGCCTTTCAAATCACATTGTGGGGCATTAACCCTCATTCATGTCAAATAAACTGTGAGTAAAAAGCTGTGCAAAAGCTCTTTTCTAGGGTTCTGTGACAAAAACAAAGGAAAATCCAAAATGAGGTACAGCATCAAAGACTGCAAACACTGGCCATCTGAGATAGACCGATAACACAATAGCCATGCACAAAATTTCCCAATCTGATTGATATCTATTCAGATTATAAAGCAAAAAAAATAGTCCGATTTTTCCATTTTTATGGGCTTAAGTATTCGGAATAAAACGGCTGATCGGACCAAAAATGTCATGTAAACATGCCTATCAGAATATTCTGATAACAGCTTTGCCAGAGTAATTAGCCAATCAAAACAGAAATATAGCATGCCGACCACTGTGCAAATACACACTAGGTCAGCTTGCCTCATTCACAAATAACTTGATCCTCCTGACAGTCATTTATCTGCATGCTAATCAGATTGTCAATTGACATTAACCTCTCTGTCTGATTACAATTTCATTCCAATCCTAAAAGAATCTTATCAGAATATTTTGACTGACATGTTGACATGACATATTTTTAAACTGATTAGCCATTTATTCAACTCAATTGTGTAGATACTGTATATGTGACCTATGGTTATTGTTTGTAACGCAGAAAGTGTGATTTTTGTATCCAATTTCAAGGAAATTTAAAATATTTGAAATTAAAGCTCACATCAGTAAAGGTTAAATAAAAGAAAAAAACACAATCAGAAATTACAGGGTTGAAATGTCACATCTTGACGCTGTCTAGACCATCCAAAGCCAAATTAGATTTTCATTAAAGATTTTTTTTTAAAATATGATCTCAAAAAACTTTGATTAAATTTTAACTCAATATGGGAATAAAGGATATGTGTGATGCTTTTAGCTTAAAACAATTAATAAAATTATTTACATTTTTAAAATGGATACTTGTCAGATTTTATAAACCTTTTAAATATATCAAAAATACTAATAAATCTACAATAAAAGGAAATTGTTCTTAATCTAATAATAATTAAATTAAAGTATCCTATGTATCATGGAAAGCGTTTAATGTATTTATTTTTCAAGCCCAGACTGAAAGTTTTCAAAACCAACAGTGAAGATCATTCATGCACTTGAGTGAAAACAACTGTCTGGCTGTTGAATTTTGATTAGGCACTAGGACAGACAGCAGTGCCAGCAATGAGCAAATTTTGGCTTACTGCCCACAGCCTTGTACAGTGAATGTTAGTGTTGAAATGCAGCATAAAAAGGAGATTAAAGTGCAGTTGAACATAAAGAACAGAACAAATGTTTTATATATATATAAATGAGCAGGGTTATATCTCATGCAATGATTGGAATTGTGGTAAAAAATAAAGACTTTAACAAAATATACATACATTTGTTAATGTACAATAAAGTTATGGGTCTAATTTGAAAGACAGTCTTCAGTCTATTTATATAAAGGGTTTGCCTTATATATTGCATATGTCCTTACATCCAAATAAACGCATCAGTGCAGTGGACCAATTACACTTACCTTCAGTTCACGAAAGAAAATGCTGCTGCGTGCCCACTCCACAATAGAGAAGAGCGTTTGGTCGGCCATCTTGCACATCAGCCCAAAAGTGTTGAGCTTCTCGTGTTTGCCTCGGCTGGCCTGCTCCTGCTGTAGATAGGCCAGAATCTTTGCCTGCACCTGTGGTTCATCGGGTTCACATTTTAGCAGCTCTACTATCAGGTGCGGGAAGCTGGGTGGCGACCCTGACTGGTAGGCATCAACGTAAGCGTAGCCCATGATGGACTCTGGTGAGCTGGTGTACGGATCTGGATATTCAGACTTGATGGTGCGTGTGCCCTGGAAGTGTCCGTAGGCCGCCTGGTAGCCCTGTAGGCTTCCCGCATGTGGCGGCATTGCCATACTGACAGGAGAAGTAACAAAAGGGCTGCGGTCGTAGTCTGTAGGAGGCAGGGCTGTGGCATGATGATGGTGGTGGTGGTGGTGATGGTGACTGGTGTGGTGGCCGGCGTGGTGGCTCAGTGGAAGGCCTTTGGATGCTGCCGAGTGGATGTTCTGAATGGCTGAGGAGATAGTGAGGTCAGTGGGTACAGCTTGCATCACCTGGCTCATGGCCTCAATCTTTAGGCCGTTTGCTCGGATCAGCGCCTTCTTTTGTTGCTTAAGGGCACGGTCACGTTTGTACATTGGGCCAAACTTGTTGCGACCACCACGCATACGATCTGCTCGCACAGCTGGGAGGAAGGCACATGGAAAAGGAGAGAAAAATAAAAATATTAGTTTGCCAAGTACTTGAAACTTACTTGACTTGATAGCATTTATAAAAGAACAAACCTAAGTTCACAATTGTACATTCCTATCAGGGTATATGTGCCATGCAAGCATAAAAATCGATTGGTAATAGTGATCATAACATTATGCCAGATCAGTTTATGCGTGTGTATGTGAACCAATCTGGATCATGGATCAATGGAGACCGTCATGAGAATAATATTATAATAATTGAAATTTGTTGATCTCACACTGGAGAAATTTACCTCTGCATTTAACCCATCCCCTTAGGGAGCAGTGGGCTGCAATTGTGCGGTGCCCGGGGAGCAGTGTGGGGTTAAGGGTCTTGCTCAGGGACCCAGAACACCAGCTGCGGGGATCGAACTGGGTATTTGCAACCTTTCAAGGGCTCAAACGCACTGCTCCAACACTCCCCTGACTGAATAGAGTTTCAGTTGAAGTCTATCTATGCCATATCTATCTATGGCATTGTTGTGTTCATAAAGATAGTTGATACAGAAAAAATAAGCTGATATCAAGTAACACTTTAGCTTGTAACACTTTAGGTAATCAGAAAAAGAATTACTGACAGAGTAACCGATGATGATTTAAACAGCACTTTAATAATAGGCAACTACATTTGACTATTATTAGCTAACAATCTTACAGTTTCTTTGTAATTTTGACAGTTTGATCATTTGGACATCTCTACTTAACAATATAAATGTACATGTAGGCTAAAAAAATCTGATTCTGATAATGTATTAACTGAACAGAGATTCTTAAAACTATCTCTCAGAGCAGAAAAAATAGGGATTTCCTTTTCTTGTCTCATTTTCTTAAATTCAGATTGTCTTGTGACGTCAATGTCTTGTCATGAATTGTATGAATTACAACAATTTAAATCACAACAATTATAAAGTTTCAAGGGTTGGAGTTTGCCATCAGTTGTCTGTATGGCAAAGGTTTACCGTGGACAACTCACTTGATGTTTATCTGTTGAAGTTAAAGCGAGCAGAGCTAAATGATAGTGATGTTACTCATTGACCAGAATTTTAAACCTGTATGAACCCAACCGCAGTAGGTTCAGAGTTCAACAGGACTTTTTTTTTTCTTTTTTTGAGGGAATCTAGCTTGAGTTTCAGAAGTTAGTCAAAACTCTGATAAAAAATAGAGTTTTCTAATTATGCAATTCCTAAAAGCTTTTAAAATGCCTGTGTCAATTAGCAAGAACTTCTTTATAAAGACCAAAGGTTTGATCAGTCTGACAATAATCCAATTGGGTTTCTTTTTTTCTGATGAAACAAACACACCCACGACGCTCCCCCCGTTGCCCCCCGCCCCTCAGCACAGAGATCCTGTGGCGAGGATCACAACGAGTGTGTGCTGTGGGTATTTCTAATGAACAAACTGGGCACACAGTGGACTGCAATGAGGTCCGTGAGTGATCTGGCCGACTGCTGCCACAGGGAAGCTGCTCTACTATCTCTCAGTCGGGGGGCACTGGTGTTAATTATTCATACTTAATTACATCTTATTCTGACAAGACTTCGTGGGGCTCAGCGTGCAAAAAGCTCACAGACGTCTGGGGTTCAATGCAGCTTAAAAAAAAGGAAAATGCATTCTAGACATTCTCTTCAGATATTCGCAAATATTATATTCAGTGTATTCTGAATTTGAAAATTGCTACCATATTTCTAAATATATCAAAATGCAGACAAATATACTTTTTTGGCGCTCATACATTTTGACCTTCTCATACAAAAGGAGCAGTCAGATACCATAGCTGAGGTCCACTCAAACTTGTGATGCCTTGACACATGAATGAAAGAACTAAAGAGGAAAAGTGAAGTGGGGGTGTGGAGAAGGCGTGGATCGGGATTTAAATTCAGGGGCGAAAGATGGGCAGAAACCGATACACTGACATATAGCATACCCACAAACGCATGCATGCATACACACACTCAGCTGCCTTGGGAGGGATTTTAATGACCTCTTTCACAAAATGTGCCTGTCACTGATCTGAGCAACCACTGCCAAGAGGGCAGCCACTCGTACAGACGCGCACACACCAACACTTATGGATACATTTGACACACATACGCAAAGTAGCTAACATATAAAACATCACACACTGCTCCCCATCAGAGAGATGGGAGCACGCCAGACGGTCCACCACCTTGAAGAGGCTCTGGTGGCTTAAACAGTGATTTACTCGCACTCTAACAACCACTCAACAAGACTCATAGATGATCATGACCAGAGAAAAATGGACTCTATATATATATATATATATATATATATATATATATATATATATATATATATATATATATATATATATATATATATATATATATATATATATATATATATAGAGATAGATATGAGTCCATTTATATATATATATAAAGAATAAATAAAAAAAATAGTAGCCCTGTCAAATGTATCAATTATACATTATTTTAGGGCAACTTTAACTATTAATGATTCTCCACAACAGCGTAATTAATGAGCTGAGAAACTAATAGTTGGCCCTACTGGGAAAACAAAATTAGGCCCTGACTGCCTTTCTTGCCTGCCTCGGACCCAGGGACCCACAGCACATCATGAATACCAGAGTTGGTGGTGGTAGAGGTGGGGGGTGTCTTACAATGACATACACATGTATACTGCCACACACAGATGCACACATTTTTGTCTCTAATTAAACAAGGTGATTTGCATTCATGTAACATAGATTAATTTGGAGGGGAAGGGCAGGGGAGAAATAGTGCCTGCGTGCGTAAGGGAGCTTTGGGAAATGTGCATGTCTGAATAAGGTGGAGAAATGATAATAAGTCGGACACTGCAACAATTTAGCTTCTGATAGGACAGAAAATATACAGTGTGATCCCTTTATCCAACAGAAATGGGAAGAATAGAGATTTGAGCTATCTAATATAAATGATCATGCATCTTTAGATTAGTCGTTTCTTTTAAGGTCACATTTCACCTCGCCATTAAATGAAAGCCTTATTTTTGGTGGGCTGTGTAAACAGAGGTGGGTTTCCCAAGAGTCTCTAGGACCCTTAGCAATGACGCACAGACAAGCAGAAGGAATGATTAAACTGCTAGCTTTGAATAAAAAAAAAAAAAAACTACACTGTACCTTTTTTTTTCATCATTTGGAATGATTTCCCATTTAAAGTAGCAGCATCTAAAGAGCAGCTTTTATCTGTTGTGCCTATGACTAGCTTTGAACTGTAGGGCTGATGATGTCATTAATGCAAAGACTTGGATGCACAAAATTCATAAATTTCCAATCTGACCCAACTGCTCCTGTTTCTCAAAAATGTCCAGTGTTCCCTGTGCTCCTCAAACTTGTACAAACAAGCACAGGCAGGCACAGAAAATGCATCTTATAGCAACATACCCGCCTACACATAGACAGTAACAAACCCTGCACACCTCTCTCACACGTAGACCGTAGTGCTTATATCCTCTGATTTATGGTTGTTTAATATACAGGAATATTAAGCGTGCGTAGGTGAGGATCCCTGTCAGGTGCCAGCATATTAATGGGTCCCGCGGAGCCTTGCTGACACCCTGTTTGTCATGTCGGGGCCCCGGCCCCTGCTCTGGATGCGCCCTATCCCATGCACACACATGAATACCTATGATACCTATGCATAAGTAATGGGACAGCTCCCCGGTTTTCCCATCGCAGGTACTGAGAGGCTGATGGAAGACGAATCAGAGCTGGAAAGATGGAGACAGGGAGGAAATAAAAAGTGTGGAGAGGGGAGCGATACAACAGGGAATATACAAACACTCAGCCAGTGGTGCTAATTTCAGCTAAGTGGCTCTTCAGAGGTTTTGAATTAGTTGTAATCAATCAATTAAATTTTGATTAACCATTCAACGGGAAAATGATGGGAGTCTCGGCGAGAGCAGCATTTCTAACATAATAAATTCACGTAAGGATCAAAATATGATTATTCTGTGCCTTTAAAATGATACACAAGTAAAGGAAATGTTAGGCAGCTCAGTGAAGCATATGATACAAGGCAACTATTAGCAAGCAAGAAAAGATTGTCGTGCCAGTGGGAGCTGTTCAAATATGGCACGCTTCACTGGATGCAGTGAGCGATCTTCTGATGAATCAGATCTTTTGTTTTCAGTGGGAAAATGCTCACAATGTGTGTGTGTGTGTGTTTGGAGTGTGCAATTTAGCTCAAAATCAGTCATATAAAGATTTACCATCCTTCACTGTTTTAAGCATCTTCACTAAACACCTTTTTTAAGAAAGAGCTTGGAACTTTAGTGTGAGGGATGGCTGTAGTGTCAACTATAAATTGAAAGCAAATGTCACAGTTGCTATGTGATCATCTAGGAGGAGCGAATCCTGCAGTCATTCACCTAATGCAAAGCTTCGTTATTTAGACTGAAAACTTTCAACTTTATTATTCAATTGAATTGTCTCTGTAAAATGCCTCAAGATGACGTGTTGCGAACTAGCACTTTATAATTAAAGTGAATTTAATTCAAATAATTAGTGCTCACATCTAATCCAGACGTACTTATTATGATTAAACCAACAAAACTTTCAGGGAATATTTCTACTTTGTCGCTTATTTAGTTATAAAAGTCCTTGTCGTTCTCATGTGAAGGTCAATTTTTGTTTTTAATCCATACTGGACAGTGTAGCTGAGATAACAGATAAACGTGCTGTTAATGTAGGGAGTATAGATGCACATTTGCAAAAAATTCAAATCCATTGGCAGATTTAAATTATCATATTATGAGCTTATTTATCAGTAAACAGATAGATCACAACAAAAAAAATTATGTCATAATTTGTCAGTCAGCCACTTATACTGAAGGACTACATTTTTCAAAGAATAATTACACCTGAGCATAAAAGGTTTTTAAGCCATAACATCATTTACATTGTTAATGGGTATGTTTTTTTGTAGTTTTATAACTTTTAAATAATTATCTTTAAGAAAAGACAAACGCCTCTTTTATATATTTTTACTAGATCCTCTTTTCATAAATCAAATGAGCTCAGACACCTATTTCTGAGATTTATTATATCGAGAAAAGAGAAGCTGACTGCTATTCATTTTTTTTTCTCTTCATTTTTTTGTTCTTACGGACGTTTGACATTTCCAGTTACATTTTCTTAAGTGGTATAAAAATCACTTTGCCATTCTTAAACGTGACAGGCAATAGAATCTCCTGAACATTAAAGCAGAAAAGAGTCATAAAGCCCTTGATTCATTAAGCCAATGGGCCACTTAGGCACTCGGATGGGCTTCTTAGGGTTTCAATGGTGTGAACATTTTTAGACCACATTAATATAAGCTTTGCTAGTAAGATGAGGCAAATTCACACATTTAAGAATGAACCTAACTAAAAGGTTGGGTAATTTCAACGAATTAGCTATGTTAGCTGAAATCTTGGACAAATTCCCCTCATATTTGGGTTTAAAGTATTTCAAAGGGGATGTTGGCTGTAATTTGTGTTTAGAAATTCAATTTCATTAACAGGAGAAAGTTGCAAGTAATTTGGCAATTTAACACACTGAAACACAGTGTATACAAAAGAACACTGATAAAACGTGGAATTAAGGGGGCCGCCACTGTCCTTGACATTCCAACTTTTTTTTTCCTAAAACCAAACAAGCCGCCTCAGTTATTGTCATAAACACAAAACAAAAATAAACAAACACTGCAGAAAAGGAACAAATAACACAACATTTTAAAAAGTAGAAAATAAAAAGCCATTGGTTTGCTTTTAGGTTCATCCACTGGATTTTTTGGTTTCTGAAGGCTACAATACGCTGAAATACAGGATATGACTGAGATCATTTTCAATTTTTAGATTAAATGACAAATTCCTCCTGCCTGTGGCCAACTCAACAACTTTCCTGTCATGAATATATGTTTTGTGTGAGCTGTGTGTGTGTCTGTGAGTGTGGTGAGGGGTGTCAGCTCTCCTGTGTGGGAGGTCTTTACTGGATGTGGCAGGAGTCATCCACTGAAGCTCCTGGCACCTGACAGAGCGCTGCAGGGCCTCATCTTGCCTAAGAGCGGAAAGTTACCGCCGGCAAAACAAATCAAACACAACCCCATCCCCCCCCACCCCTGTTAGCTTTCAAATGACTGGCCGAGTCTTTCTGCCCAAAGGCCATTCACAGTTAATAGCTGTTAATGAAACCACAATGGCAGGTAAATGGAGACACCTCAAGATATGTTTTGAATTTCTTTGCTTTATTTATTTATTTTTCAAATCTGCTTTTTCCCTCTTTTTTTTCTTTCGTTCCTCATATACATAAAAATTGTCTCTGTTTTTCTCACAGAAACCAACACATAACACTGAGTTCTATTCAGGTAATTGCTATATTAAAAAAAGGAAGTTATTTAAAATTGCATTTAAGGATTTCATTTGGTTTTCTTTGAAATGTAGAGTGACTGTTCTTATGATGTACGAATGTTGCGATCACGGGGTGGGGTTTGGGCCTGTCAGCAGTCAGACACCCATTTCCAAGGTTGATCAAGCCTCCGCTCCTGTCTTTACTGTACCTACTGTCTGTTTTTTTTTTACTATAACTGATGTCAGAATAGATTTAATACCTTAAATAAATCCCAATTTTCACACATGTAGCAATGGCAAATAACATTTTTAAAAGGTTTATAACTAGACTATTTTACCATTCTCTTTCCTTTTACAGCTGGAACCACACAACCTGCCTTGCCCAACATCAGTCCCCCCAACACACACACACACAACCACAAATACCTGACAGGTTAAACCATAACAAAAAAGGACAAAGGATTTCATCTAACAACAGTAAGGTCTCCTTAAAGACATTAGATGAAATAGAGCTAAATCAATTCTTCCTTATGTTGCAAATACAATGTGGGCAAAAAATGTCTTTTGTTTTCAAGAATACAGAATACAGAAAAAAAAGACCATGCAAGCGTTAGCTGACCTTTTACTGATGGATCTAAAACTCCCACAAGTTTAAGTGGGTTAGCTACGGACTTGGAAGCTCTGATGGAATATCTTTTTACATCCTCAACTTTCACAGGAGTGCAAATCTGTATTCTAATATGCAGTCTTGCCCATTGTATATCTAAAAAAATTTACTTCTTCTCAAGCAATAGTTTTGATACCTGACTTTCTGAAGGGATGGTATTTATATATTCTAAAAATGTTATTGTTCATCACCACTCTAAACATATCAATGTGGAAAAATTTACTCCAGCAACATTAAAAAAGCTGATTTGATCCTTATTAGATGATTATACAGTAAAATTGTAAAAAAAAATCATTATATACCACTGAAATGTAACCGATGTCATCAGTAATATGGAAAGATTTTTTCCCCATGGTTGTACTTCATCTATCTGCACATTAACTGGGAATAAAGCTTTGGATTCATATTTCACCTAAAATGTTCTTATTTTTCAGCATTTCAGATTCTTGGAAATAATTTGAAGACATCGCAGCTGTCTTGTCTGGATAAAGCATCCTCTTTTCTTCTAAAGCAACAGCCGCAGCGCTATCTAGTAAACGTTTACCTTCAGCACCCGCAGATGCTGCAGGATAAGAGTTTTTTGTTATAACTCCCCATAACCTCATTTACAAGGACAAAGAAAATCTATACATAAAAGAAAACAATCTGTAAAACACTTGCCTCTTTGACTCACTCTGAAAAAATCCAAAGAGCTGAACAGTTAAAATGAAAAAGAAGTGAATGTACCTTCTAGCTTCATGCCGACAGTGAGGCACTTCTGGAAGCGACAGTATGGACAGCGCTTTCTCTGGGTCTTGTCAATCTGGCAGCTCTGATTCTCTATACATGTGTAACGCTTGTTGTTCTGGACGGTGCGCTTGAAGAAACCCTGCAGAGAGAACCAATTAAGACGTCAACCTGCTTGACCCCTGCAATGTGATAGTAATTGGCCCATTCACACACCCAGACAGCTGGAGAGGGACTTAATGGATACAACACACACAGACACACACACATACACAGGAGATGTTTTAAAGGTATTCTCCAAATTATGTAATGCTTCACTTTTATATTCCTGGTTAAACAGAATTAAGACATGAAAAAAAATGCATTGCATTATAACAGGAGAGTAAAACACAAACTTTTGTTTAGCTGATTTGATTTACTTCACTGCATTTTGAACCACTCTAAGAAACATTTTCATTCTCACACTCAGTGATATCTAATCACAAAAAGGAAAAAAAAAAAAACTCCATGATTTTTTTTTTCAATCTGAAACTTAATTATTGAATAATATGGCCACATGAGACCAAAAAAATTCAATACATGATATCCATAATTTAAAGTTCCGGGATTACAGAGATTCATACATTAAATTTATTATAAGCAGCAGCAGCCAAAATCAAACAGAGGAAGGTGGTATTAACGTATTCTAGATCCATAACCTAGGAGGAGAATCCTAAAACCTGCTTTTTAAAATGAAATAAAAAAAAAAAAAGCTGCTGCTGTCAATATCTCACCAAAAACATATTTAATTGACTATCTGCATTGCCTGATCTGTCCAAACACAGAGAAAAAACGCAAAGTGTTGGCTTCAGGAAAGATCGACTCCTAAGTTTAGCATTTTTACTTTAGAGAAACTTTCTTAGATTTCACATATAAAAGCTGAACTTGATTCCAATATGCATTTTGTGTGTTGTTGTGTACATCTAGCTAAAAACAGATCTTTTGAGATGCAAAACAAAGAGAATTGTAATCAATATTTGTTCTTTTTGATTATTGATACAAAAAGATTTTAACTCATTTGTTAAACCAAGAAAAATATCTTTTGTAACTTTATCTTATTATTTGGTCAGCACAGTTAGCATATGTTTGCCCCTTATGTGTCTGACCCATACGAGTGTCTGTATCTCTGGATTTAGAGGTTATTCTCAAACTATTCTCAGTTTATTGTTATTATTTCAGCAGGTTTTATTAGCTAACCTGTTTTCCTTACAAATATGATGCACATTAACAGAAATGATCTTTGCACTTGGATGACCTGCGTGTGTCTATGGGCCCTTTTGACGCATGCAAATGCAACCTACTATACAGTTTGATACACAGCATATCAGGCAATAGTAGTGAGGTAAGTAAAAAAAAAAAAAAAAAATTATCATCACCAATAGTTGTCAAAACAAAGCTAGAAATGGCTTAATATGACTGTTACTTTTACACTGATTAACCCTAAAAAGGCTTCCAGTAAACTGACAACAGACTGAACTGCCTGCATGGATGCTTACATATATTATTATTTACCCGAATGAACCTGTAACGTGTCAACAGACTGATTTATCTGCCCAGCTCTGATGATCATACAAAATGCTACATTTTAGTGATAATCAATGGCAGGCTTCAGGTAATTATCAATATCATTAATGTTTCAACAAGGATACACAACATTCTATAAAAAAACCCTCTTTATCTGCATCCAGAATACACACACACACACGACAGCAGGACGTTTAAAGTCAGCCTGGAAACATGTTGATTGGCAGAGCCAAGGCTGAGGAGCAGCAGAGATGCCACTGACGTCTCCCTTCAAGCGAATGTTCAGTATCTCAAGGTCAAAATATGGGATTAAATCTATAACATCTGCTTTGAATAATGACCACATAGGCAAGAAATGTGCACTGCAGCATCAGTACTGCGAGCAGCAATTTTACGGTGAAGAGCGTGACGTGGAGCCATTTGTCTTCGCTTAATTTTGCACTGACAGTTTTACTGAACTGGAAAAAGTAATACATTATTTGTTCTGTTTAGAAAGAGAAGGAAAAATAAGTTTTGAACAGAGTTTAAGTTTAACAGTAAGGTACTTTTTATTTTCTTCCAGCCCTATTGAACATGTAAATATGTAGCTCAGGCAAAGCAGTTGAGATCTTAATCAAGCTGTGATGACAATTGTAGACAGAGAGACGAGAGATTGTTCAACCAGCAACATCAAGAGAAAATATTTAGCCTCAAGTGTTGTAACCTCCCACGTGTGTGGCCCAATTCTGATTCTTGATATGGTTAAGATGCCTCACTGACCAGGGTGCCAGTTAATTAGGAAGCAGCAAGAGAAATATGAAAGACAAAAAGAATATTATATGTCAGTTAAACCCTAAATTATTTTTTCATATTGCATATTCGCACCTGAGAGAACAGCCAGCTGAGTTGTAAGAGTATAAGAATTGTATTCATTTAATTTGTTTCCTTGCTTTAAACAATGTGGAGAGTACCTGATTTTCACAAGTTCATATCACAAAGTAAGTTGGAAAAAAAACCTAGTTCTTGTCATATATGTTTTTTTTCATTTTATGTAATAACAACAATTTTGAATGCTAAGACAGAAACTCATCTTATTTGATAAGAAAACCTGTCTGTCTTTTTCTTTACCCAAGTAAAAAGTTGACTTTTTAAATTTTTTTAGGAAAATTTCAAAATTTACTTATGTCTAAAAAAAGACTTTTAACACAATGAATAAATAACAGAAGAAATGTATACATTTGCTGTGCTATTCGTGATGGAAATCAAAAACGTTGACTTTAAACCCTTAAAGTATCCCAGAGGCAACCGAAAGAAATAAAATATAATGCTAAAAAAAAAGAATCAAATTAAATTTGATTTAATTAACTTGAAACTTCCAAGCGAAAATTGTAGGGTATTGCAATTATTTAGGTTTGCGAAAAAGACAATATATAAATATGTAATTATATTTGATGTTGCAGAAAAATAAATATTTACAGTTGGAGGTGCACCAACCTTGCAGCTTTCGCAGGTCAGAAGTCCATAGTGATACCCGGAAACTTTGTCTCCACACACGGGACACATCTCGTCCAGGTCTTCGTCATAGGAGTAGTCCATCATTTTTAACTGGGGAGCTGCAGGAGACACACACGCAGGGTGAAATCTACTTCTGGTCTGAGCGCACTCTTTCTCCAAAGGTCCACCCGCATACATCAAGATGAGCGGAGGGACTCCGCGTCGCAACTGAATGAAAATGTGTGAAGCCCCTTCTGAGGCTTTAAATGTTGGCGGCAGATACTGTGAAGGTCGACTTTGGAGCATGTGGAGAGGGACGCAACCATTTCTCCTTCTTACTGGACTCTTCTCTTGCAACCAAAAATATAGAAAAAGAATTCTGAGTGTCAGCCTCATAAATATGCATGCGTCTAAGTCGTGAAATCACTGGGGTAAAAAGAGAGATATTAGACTTGAGGTTTGAATGAAAAAAATGTTACCGCCCACAGAAAAATGAAAAGACAGAGATAAACCCTCAGCTTTGAATCTTTGAAAAAAAAGAGTGAAAAAAAACACGTTTTTTTTTTATTTTTGTTTTTCGTTTTTATTCTTTTTTTCCCAAAGAATAAGCAACAAAGCTGAAGGCCAATTTAAGTAGAATTGTGTCTGTTTTAAATGATCCTCCTCTCCTTTTTCGTGCTTTAAAATAACTTTAAACAGAATTTGTTGAAAAGGGTTTTTTGGAATGTGAAAAAAAAAATAATTATTATAAATCTGAAACAGACAAAAGTTGGCAAAAAAAGCAAAATGTTCAGATTATAATTTCCAAAATCTCGCTCATAAAAGCATTATTCGAAACGAATATAGGCTGTTTTTTTTTTGTTTTTGTTTGTTTATTTTGTTTAGTTTTCTACAGTGGGCCTATTATTTTAGTTATTTTGAATAATATTGCGTTTCAGAAATACTTGCATGAGCAGAGAGTGTTTGTAGATGAGCAAACAGCCCGGCAGACTTTTACAACAGTTACAAAAGCATTTTATGGTACTTATCATAAAAAAGCAAAGCAGCCATGATCAAACAGGAAAAGCTCAGTGGATGTGGCTGTAAAAGTGGAAATATTTTGTCAGTCACCGACGCCTTTTCCGTGGCCTTCGCACTCACACACACACAGACATATCCCTGCTCCATCCACTAAAAAGAAAAATCCATTTCATCTGCAGGCTCAGATCCGTTAATTAGACATGATTTGTAGTTCGTTAACGCATTACCCTGCTGGGATCCGCGCTGAATATTCAGAGGAGAAGCAACAAGTTCCACCAGACTGTAGATTTTTTTTCTTTATCTCTATTTTTCTCATAAACTCAAAGCAAACTAAACACTACATGCACATATTTTACTTTAAAAAAAAAAAGTTTTTTCCAGGTTGGGCTGAATAAAGAAAATAATCATGACACTGGTTGCAGTTAAACTCTGCTTTAAATCTGAAAGTAATTATAAATTAAACTTTCACGTTGAAAATAGGAAAAAAAATAAGATTTAACTAAAGTTTAGGCTACAGAGAGGGAGTTTTATATATATATATATATATATATATATATATATATATATATATATATATATATATATATATATATATATATATATATATATATATATATATATATATATATATATATATATATATATATATATATATTGTGGATTATTATTGTGCTTATACATCCCCAAAAACGTTCTTAAAAAAACATACACAAAAAAAAAAACTAATAACAAAATTCATGATGGACGATCCTAATTTCAAGCCATTGCGTCAATTTTAGTTTACGCAAAATCAAACCTAACCCTCTAACGAACCACTCCTTCTGTCAGCCTTATCAGTGTGCCATAAAAACTAATTGATTGCCCGCTTATATTGCTTTAGAATGACGTGTGGAATGAACATGGCTACATGTGTTTATCTCTGACAATGAGTCAGTCTTTTTATTTTAATGTTTGCTGCTGCTTGTATGGTCCGCTTTTCGGGAAGATCAAGAAAAAAATAATATAAGCCCGAGGGTGATATGCATAATTAGTCCATTCTGAAGAAGGTTAAGGCATCAAAGCTTTTTTTTTTTTTTTGAATAAAATCAGACCCATAGTTCTGTGTTTTAAACCTGAAAATATTACAGTTTCTTCTTACAAAATGAAAAAGTTACTTTAGCAAATAAAAATTCCAGAGACTCGCGAATTTAACTAACCTTTTAAATATATATATATATTTTTTTATAATATAAAAAAAAGGTTAAAACAAAATTGTGACTTTCAAGTAAAGACATCAAGAATCTGTTTATTTTTGAACATATTCGTTTTGATTTATCTTTCACACAAAAGATATAAAAAGTATATTGGAACATTTTGAATACAGTGCGTAATCAGCAGGTCTTATCAAATCAGACCGTCATCCACAGTTTCAACTGGTATCCTGGGAGTAATAATATGCAGTCTTAAAATTTTTTATTAACAAATCACATAATCATGAAAGCACTATCCCCTATCGCATAGTAAGGTACTTGATTATGTTACATCAGAATTGAAATAAAAACTTAGATAATGTCTTTCTGGTTTTGCGCCTTTTTTGGTTGGTTGGTTTAATCACAGTTTGTTATTCTTGTTAATAAGTAAAACGTAAAGAAGTACTGTAAGTTTTTTTTTTCTTTTCCAAATGTGCATCGTTGGATTGCAAGGCAAGTTTGGGCTAAATTAAAAAAAAAAACGTGCAAAGTTTTGGAAACCTGTTTCAGGCAAACTTCAATATCGATATGGTCACACGACCTTTAAATACTTTCATAGCACAACTTTTATCATGAAGGGTCTACATTCTTTTGCTGTTTTTCAGCACTCCTGTAAACATAACAGAAATTAACTTCCAAAGTTGGTTTTTTTACGCTGTTCAGCCCTAAGCGCTGCGTAAAAGTGGACACCTAACTTTTGAGCAACAAGCCTTCAGCGGAGTATCTTACCTTGCATGTTCCTGGGCATGTGCCCCTGTTCTCCATACGATCGAGTGAGTCCTAAAGATTCAGTCTCGACTTTGGGCAGCATGTCAGCACTCCCGGCCTGAGCTGGAGACCGCGCACCGCTCGGCGGGACACCTGGATGTGTGAGGCAAACACAACTCGAATTGTCCCAAAAGCCTTTTTTTTTTTGTCGTGTTCCGTTTCTTACTCCCTATATCTCTCGCTCTACTCTCCTCTCTCTGTATCTTCCAATTATTGGACCATGCTCTGAGGATACAGCCTGATCCAGGATTCAGACTTTCTCTGCATGTGATCGGGTCGCGTATATTCCGATCCTGATCTGTTGTGACTGAACTTTACTCACTTAACTTTGCTAACAGTATCTTAGAGACGCAATAACGCATCCTCTTTTATCTGCTTAAGAAGGATCAGTTGCGCATGAAGTTAGTAAATTTCTATCTACTAAATGAAATACTGCGCCACGTCCTGCAACTACGCTCGGTTTCCCTTTATCTCCTCCAGAAGTCTTTGAACACGTCACAAATTAACACGAGACTGTCAGAGTAAGTTTAAAGTCTTCAACAGACAAGCACGCGCCAGCGGGCCGCCCTCCCCTGTGCGTAAAGTCGGCTCCCGTGTCTTGGTCGGACTGTCTGGAGATGTGGAGACCTGTCCTCTTCCTCCTCCTCGCCGCTTTGTTTACGCCGGTCGCTCCAATCCGTGGCGCATGCGGTCATCTGACATCATGTCTCATCGGTCCAATCAGGCAAAGAGATCAAGAAGCATCGCCTCAAAGCCCTAGATCCACCGCCCTGCAATCTCAGCTATTTAATAGCGTTTATGATGGACTTTAAAAAGACGGAAAGGCTTGGGTGGATAGGTGAATGGGTTGGTGGGGTAAAAAGAAAACAATGTGAGGCAATGACTGACTCCCTATTAAGGCTTGGGGGGTAGGATCTGAGCGCAAAGTGGAACTGGCAGGCCAAAAAAAGCGCAACATTTATATGCTTATATTTATTCCTACAAAAAATCGGCGTGATCTATTGGCTGTATTCTGTTTAGTAAAAGATTAAACAATGTTAACACCAATAAGTGAAAGCTTTGTATTGAAATCGCATTAACATTTATGTAAAGTTCTTAATAAAAGAAAACAAGTGTATCATATAAAAATAAGTCATTGGAAGCATTTGAATTTTTGGCTCATTACGCAGAAAATGTGGAGTGTTGGATTGAGTTTTGAGATGGCCTTTATGTAAACATGAAATCATTCTCCCCTCTCCGAATTATATCCGTTGCGTGTAAGCAGCCTAACTGGCTGAAAAGGTACAGATCAGGCTGTTGCGCATTAAAACAGAGAGTAAGTTTAAAGGACGAGTCAGCTGCAAGAATTGAGGGGTCACAAAATAAAACAAACTCCCCAAAAAGGCATGGAACCAGTGCGCTTATCCAAATGCACACTACAGGATAGCGCAACGGAGACTTATAGCGTTAGGAACAGTAACAGCGTTTTTCTTTCTTTTTTTGTGTTCATTTTCTTTAACCAATACAGCCCATTTTCTTTTCTAAATATTAAATCAAACCTGAAGAAAGGCAACTTGTATTTAATGGACAAAGCTAAAAATCTCGTAACTTTTTAAAATAAATCTACCTGTTGCATTGTTTTTCATGAGCTTCCACATATCCCAGTTCTTTATAAGGTATATGTTCACATATAGGCTTGATATAAATTAAATGGGCACAGTGTCACTCTGTCTATTAACTTTGTGTATCTGAAAAGTATTCACAGTACTGCATTTTTCCATTTTTTTTTTATATTGCATTCTTATTCCATATGGTACTCAACTAATCTCTTTTTTCATAATTTTGTAGTTTCCTACTGTGGCAATGCACAATGAGAAAAAAAAAACTAACTAATTACATAGGTATTCACAGTCTTTAGCATAAATCTCAGAAATAAGTTGAGGTACATACTCTTTGGATAGATCGGCCTTGAATTAACAGATTACATGCAGTAAATTATGTTAATTGGACATGATTAGTTAATGCAAATCAGTTTATATAGCACCAATCCACAACACATGTCATCTCAAGGCACTTTACAGAGACAATTCAACCAAATCATACAGTCAAACTGGTTTAAAGTTTTCTACCTAAGGAAAACAAGCTGATTACATTGACTAATTGACTCAAAAGCAATCCCTCACACCAAGCATGCTTGCAGCGACAGTGGAGAGGAAAACTCCCTTTTACCAGGAAGAAACTTCCAGAAGAACAAGGCTGAGCGGCCATCTGCCGAGGCCGACTGGGGTTCAAGGAGATAGAAGCAAACATAGAGAAAGAAGAAGAGATACGAAAAACAACTGTCAATCAGCTCCACAGGCAACCCTGTCCAGGAATAACACAGCCAGACAGACGAGCACCAAACCAGCTCCGATGTCAGAGAATTAAACAGAGCACATACAGTTAGTCACAGTAAGAGAAACAGGACTGCGCTGAAAAACAGGTCAAATTTAGGCTTTGTGTTTTGAGGATACCACTTTTCATTACCAAGCCAATCCAAACCCTATGGTAAAGTGTTGTGTGGTTTTGGCAGGACCATGCTATGGGAATATTTGTTAGCGGCAGGAATACGCTGGGATAGGGGAATGCAGCAATGTACAGAGACATCATGGGTAAAAACATGCTCAGGATCACTCTTGACCTCAGAATGGTGCAATAGATTTTTCAGCAGGACAGAGACCAAAATACAAAGCAAATGTGACAAAAATGAGGGGAACCAACTAAACTTATATGTGAAGGCAAGTGCTTCCTCTGCCATTAGGCAACAGTTAAACCCGCTGCCAAATTCCAGCGAGTCTGCACTGATGGAGCTGGAAATCAGCTTTTGGATGATTCAAGCCTCAATTGGCTTTGGTTACAGTTGACTGTACAGAACAACAATTTCTTAAGAGTTGGTTGTTTGGCTTCATGTAAAACTCCTTTTTTAATTTCCCCGAGAAATGTTTTCCAGAAGATATAAAGGTTCAGTTTTGCAATATTTTTTTTCACCTTTTGGTTGGAGTTGTTTGAAAATGTCTACCCTTTTTTTTATTTTAAATAACACTAACTTAACATTTAGGAATGTTTCTAGTTGTACTTATAAATCAGATGAGCCATTTTATTTACAAATAAAAATGCTTTTAAATATAATCCAGTAATATTATTTGCATCTAAATAAAAATGGTGACAGTATGAGAAATAACGTCTTGTTCTCAAGACTCAAACGAATGAACACATCTGAGTGTTTTACCAATTACAAAACAGGTTAGTACATTAGAGATACAATTGTTGGCTAAATAGAATCCTCAGTACAAGAAAGTCTACAGTTGAATGCGCTAAAGAGTGACGTTTCACATAACCTGGAGATGCACTGGAACAGCTTTGGCATTTTGAATAACTGGTGATGCCCCAAAGCCTCAGGAGAATTAATATGATCAGCAGTCTTGACCCCTGAAAAGAACAATTTATTGTGTATATAGAGGATGTGTAGCTGAAATCAGCCAATCATGTGATACCCATGAATCCTCCCCCTTGGATGACAAAACAAACCTCACATACATAGAACATGACCAGTAACTATGCAGTTTTTTTCTTTATATTGTCTTGTAAACAACAGTTAAAACATTGTAATTCCTTCCTAAGCATATGGGTGTACCACCTGACATGGAAGAAAGGACGGAACATTATTTTATTCCCTAAAGAAAGAAGAAATGCAAGTAAATGTACGGTTGCCATGAAGATACAGAGCTGTTAACCAACTACAAATAGCAGAGTTTGCAACACTTCTTTAACTGTTAGTTGTGATGCTCAAATTATTGTTGTAGGGATTTTTCTTTCATTCAGACATTTGTGGAAATTGCCTCTGAAGCTAGTCAAAAACAAATGGAGAGCTTCCTCCTTTAACACGAATGCAGGGTTTCCCCAAGCATATTATAATCCTAGTGGGCCATCAGGATTCACACACCCCTCCACCAGGATAAGTGTAATAAATGCGTTGATGTTTAAAACCGACAAAAAGGTCAGTAAGGTTACCGTCCAGAAGAAACCTCCTGGTCTGAATAGTTTACACGCTAGATGTTATTTTAGCCCATTGCACAGCATGTCCATATACACCCCTCCTTCCATGATCATGACGTAGCGCTCTCCCCCCAACACAAAATAGCTGTAGGCATCTAAACTTTTATGAGCCTTCAGTGCTTTTCCTAATAAGTAGGATTGGTGAGTAACCAAATAATTGTACAAGTTGTGGTAGGCGAAGTCAGGGATGTCCGATGGATGTCAGTCTTAAATGGGTGAAAACAAGCTAGAAGGCAAATTAGTGCGATCCTGCATTGCAAAAAGATGACATGTTGCAATGCAGGGCTGCTTTAACTCATTATCTAAATGTTCAACAAAAACAAGTTTAACTTTTGGTGTCAAGTGCTACTTATTCTTCTTCTTTCTCTATGTTTTTATATATATATATATATATATATATATATATATATATATATAGGTGTATGGTCGTTAATGGCTGCATTAATGCCAGACTCTTATCAGGCAATAAAAAAAATTTGATGTTAATCTATTTTCAAAGTTGGGTTGGGTGCTGGGTTTATACTAATGATGACTTTCACCTTGATGATTTAGCGCGGATGATCTGGAGGAGACAACGAAATCAGTCTTCAAACCTGTAAAGGCATACTGTGAAATTACCACATTTAATGGTACATGCTGTTGCTGTCATGATCTGGCCTGTTTGCTCCTCCCTAATTAGTAATTCCTCTCACCTGCTGTTTTCCCTCTCTGCCTCAATTACAATTTATTCCCCTCACCTGTTTCCTCTGATTTAAATTCAGTTCAGCCTGAGCATTCAGTGCCAGATCATTGCTTGTCCTTCTGTCAGTCTTTCTGTTCAGTTTTTATTTGGTTCATGTCCTGGATCCTAGCTGCCAGTAGAAAGAGGGTTTTAGTGTTTGTCTCGTCTCCTGATCGTCCACTGTTCCTCCCCTGCGGAGTCCACTGGGTTTTTGGCTCAATATGTGGGGAGGTTCAGTTTTTATCCAGTAAGCCTGGCTCCAGGGAGGAGACCAGTTTAAAGTCCTGCTTCAAGTTCCGGTTCCACGTCCTGTCTCGGCTACCTTCTTCCAATGAGCCTGCCTGTCTGCACCTGATCCTGTCTGCTCCTGTGCGTGACCACCTGGTCATGCTTCTGGCTCCAGTCAGACTCTGAACCCTCCTGGGAGCCTTTGGATGCCTGGAAGTCTGGATCATGCCACCTGTTTCTGTTCTTGCCTAAACTGGATCCTGTCCCTGTCTGTTCTGGATCCCTGACCAGGATCAGCTTCCAGCATGTCCTCTGGAACTGCAGC